ATTCCGAAGATCATTCTGTTGACTGTTGATTCATTTCTTTTAGATTTTTGATACAAAATGTATAATTAAAAAGTTTTAGGTGTATTGATATTTTTTAAATTGGTATATATTATCTTTATAATCTTGTATGGGGTTTGAACACAAGAAATCTCAAAGCAGAAAATTAATGCAAAATTTTAGAGAACTTATTAAACGATCCTTTTGGTGTTAATAAGACAACACTTACAACTACGAACACGGTTTACGAGTAATGTTATGTGAACTTTGTTATCTGGACTTCGTCGTGACGTCGTAAACGCACACGCGATCCGTGCGTTCACGAAATGTATAGCTCCGTCCGTTACCATCGTGTATCTACAGTGTGTTTTTAAAAGTTATTTACAATGTGTGATTATACCGTGCGCGATATACTCGGACGATTTCGTGCCGTCTGTCACCGTGTGGCGTTTGCACGTAACGCGATAATTTTCGCGTTGCGAAAGTTCGTCCGTAATCGCCATTAAATAGCTACAAATAGCCGCGTCGTATATTATGAAAGCCCACCAGATACTTATCTGTTCTATTCCACGTGTGTAAAGTAGTACAATGTATATAGAGATACAAGTGTATCGGTTAAAGTTTAGTTTTTTTTTGTATCAGAAGTTTTTGCGAGGTAAAAGATCGTCATATGTATTTTTTCTATTTTTAAGTTTAGAATCACACTTATGTATCGAGCAAATTGGATAAATAAACGTGAACTTTAATACAATTTAAATGTTATAAAAGTATACATAAAAAAACAATTTTATTGAAGCATGTAAAAATTTAGGTAAATTTAACAGATTATTTTGTTGGAAGCAATAAAATTATGTATTAGAAAACTTAAGCATGATAAACAACGCTGTCAAAAGTTTTGACATTCGAGCAACTAACTTGAGCGTTCTACATAACTATTTTGATACTCTAATAAAAATATTTTTAGATCTCTGTATCTATCTAAACTTTTAGATACTTTAGTAAAACTATTCTTTCCGCACAAGAGTTTCACATTCGCATGCTGTTAACTTTGAGACACCTTGTATAAGCGAAAATCGTTGATGCACGATGCACGTGTTGTTACGAAGCTAACTTTTACTTTACAACTCACGAAGATGACGTACGATTGTTCAGCTGCATGTAAATGTCAGCCAATGCTACCATCTGACAGATCGCTGCTTTGCGATGCAGTTATCTCTTCTATCGCTTCTTCGTTCTGTTATCCACGGAGAATATATAGGGTGATTCTGACATATTAAATTATCTCTTGAATCGAGATTTGGTATACTATTTTTTGATAATTTGTTAATTTCAAATATTATTACTTGGTATTAATTAATATTGCAGTAATCAAATAATTTCATAAAGTATAATTCTATTTAAATAAAATTTATTTAATTTTTAATAAATGTTTGCACCGTGATTTATTATATTTATACTATTTTTCGATATCGTATTAATTCCAAATATTAATTACTTATCGCAATCGATATTTTACTAACTAAAAAGATAATATAAAATACCTATTCTATTTAAATAAAGTTTACATTTCATTTTATTAATTATTTATTTGCATTCTGTTTTAGTCTTACTCGAGAAGCATTTCAGATATTATTAATTTTCCTCTCAGTGATTTTATTTAAAAAAAATTGAACTTTGGGATTGGCCAGAGAAGTCGTAAGAAGTCTTTGTGAGTATGAAGATCCTGCGCACCCTGTGTTTCCGATCGGTTTTGGGGGTCAATCGATTCGCGACTTGGAACCGGTCCAATCTTCGTGACACGGCGGAAGCCGTTCTTCTGTATAACCGATGCCTCTCACGGGTTTTCGCGTTCCATCGAGCGAACGACGGAAGCTGCGGATAAAGCGGACGAAAACTCGATTTCGTTGAGTCGTACCGAAGGACGATCCCCGATATATATGGCATTTCAAAGACGAATCGAATAAAATAGACTCTGTCTGAGATAATGATATGAAAAATTATATATATATATATATATATAAAAAATAGTATTAGTATGTAAATAAGTATATAAATTGCTAAACAATTTTTTAATGTATAAGGTAAAAATATGCATTAAATATCTTTGGTTTTGTTTATACAAAATTGAGTCCATTGACACTCAATCCATAGCTTAATGGATAATATGAGAATAAAAATTCTTCAGAAAATTCTTATATTTCACGCTAGATATATTTCCGGTCGCAGTGCTGTACGTATGAAATAATTCTCAAAGGCGATTCGTGTTTCTCGTATTATTACCTCAAAGAATGTGGTGGTTTAAGGACGGCTTAAACGTGTAACGGAGATTGTCTCTCGTTTAGATAGTCTCTACTCCTTTCTTTACTCTGAAAGAGGGAGAAAGCTGAAGGTAGGAGTAGGGGAGGGGGAGCTCGAAGACCGTAGATTTCGCTTTTGGCTTGATTACGCGATAAAACACGTCGTGAACGAAGGGAATATCTTCTCGACGTTCGGAGCGCCATGAATAAAGCGTGTCGGTACGACTTCTCGAATCGAATTTCCTGTCCAAGATCCGTTTGTTTATCACGTACCGTCCCCCACCGTCGATTCGTCCATTAAAACAGAGTCGCAATAAAAAGATATATTCGTTTCCTCATTCTCTTCCCAGGTTCGCACAATATCGCCAAATCGAAATAGCGAGCTCGTAAATCGTTGATCACAAGGATAAAATCGTCGTATCAAAAGTAAAAGGCGAATTTAACTGATTGAAAAATGATATGTATCGTGAGCTTAACTAAAAATTGTTATTTTGTTACCTTTCTGTTTGAATTTTCAAATCTCTAATTACTTCATTTCCTGTAATTATTAAAAATTTGAATGCAACTATTAATTAGTGGATAAATCTTTCATTGAGGAAAAATTAAAGAAAAATCTGTATTCGATTCTTTTTTTTTACTCTTACATTCTCTCAGAAATTTGTAACTGAAATTGCATACGTTAAGCTTGCGGAGGATCCAATATGACGTTCTATATCTCGCTCTTTTGTTAAAACGGGATTTTGGGGAAACGCTTTGAATGGACGTAACTCAGACTTTTGTTCAGTAATGTACCGTCGCCGAAAATCGAATCGGTTCTGACTCGATACTCCCACACTGCTTGTCTGTGATGCCCGACGTTTAATTGAATCTGCCTGCGACAAGAGACGCGATCGCATCGCCCAATAGGATGCGTTCATGTTTCGCAAGAGAATCGCATTAGTCCGGGTTTTGGATGTACATATGTACCCGAGAAACGGATAATTCCTTTTTAAAGGAAAATTGAACCTCGCGTATTTTAGTTATTTATTTTTCAACGGCCGATCTCTTGCGACATTAAGTATACAGAAATAAATTTAAATCTCTATAAATTTTTTAGTTAAATATTTTTAGAATTTTTCGTTTTTATGAAAGCAACGTCGAACATTCAAGTTTTTTTTTCATATTGTGCGTGTCCTTTTTTTTTTTTCATAAAAAAAGAGTGATAGGAAACGCCACCGGTATATCATGAAAAATTTTAATATCAGCTGTACGTTAAGAACTTATGTATTCAGCCCATGTCAAAGCTCGAATATTTGTATTTTTTCAACTTTATCAATTTATTAGACATACGCGTAGGAGGAGGTTTCATACAATCTATCAAAAGTAGGAGGTAAAGGCCATTCGTTTGGCAAATAAATTTTGTTGATTCTATGAATGGATCTGTGCAACTCGTATTCCTCGTTCTCCGGGGATTTACCATGTGTTTACCTTGCTCTGTTCAAAATAAAGGTCATCGTGTAGGCGGCACCGAGAAAAAATATAGCACGCCTGCACTGTCATTACGACTCATACGGTTGGTTTCTTTTTGCGTGCACCCTCGTTGTACTTCAATCTTCAATCATTATCATATTGTTTGCGTTACTATTCATTTCGTTGACTTTAAACGTCAACGCTCTACTCAAACTGAGATATACGAATAAAAAGTTTTTTATTATAAGTATATTCATTTCTATTTAGGATTAATTTAAACGCAGAGAAATAGAAATTATAATTTCAATTTGAATTACAACAAAACAATTCTGTGTACATCTGAAAAAAAATTAATAAAACTTCTATATATCTGAATGTGCGATTTAGTTGAATTTATTTTTATGAAATATAATTCTATGAGATGTACAATTTCCATGAATTTTTTCTCATCATTTTAACATCACGTTTCAGTTCGTCATTTGAAGCCATTTTATATCGCGAATCTTGAACTCGGTGTACTTTATTAAAATCTTTTCCTCCTACACGCACACACAAAGCTATCCCACTGCTGTATTACGTGGCGTTATTTCGTGCTAGTCATGCCATGCGAAAGTGGCATAATAATACGACGATAGCGCGCATTTATAGCTGCTATTTATTCGCAATTTTTTCCGTCGGTGGAATTACGTCCTTCGGACATTGCCCGTTGTATTATTCTAATCTACGATTTCGCATTGTAATCATAAGAATTAGTGATGAATCAGTATAAAAGAAAAGAATATCTCTCGATCAGACAACAATGCAATGTAACAATTGAATCATAAATTGAACATTGTTTATTCTTTCTCGTGAGAAGAAAAGATTGCCATTTTTCAATCTTTAAGATATCGATAACTAACATTTTGTTATATATTATGATGTAATTAACGAATTTATAATAACACTCAGGAGGAGGAGATAAAAATATCTTGTAATGATATATAATAAAGTAATGATAAGATAAACAATTAACGACAGTGAAAATAATTGCTTCTGTCATTTTTGAGAACTCTTAATTCTATTGTGAATCGCATATATTCAGTGATAAATTTAGGTTATTTATCGATTTTGACATCAAATTTAATTAGTTGAATAATAAGTTAAGCATTTTTTGTAATCGTTTTCGTATAATATTACAAACAAAGATGTTTTATATTTGCATGTTTATCTTTTCATGATTTGAATTTTATTAATTTTGTATTCTTTTTTTTGTTTCAGATAGAAAGAAAATTACATCTAAGAAACGTGAACACACGATTTGCTTCCTTCTTAACGTAAGTACAATTTTTTTTCATATTATTTTTACTAAATTTTTATCAAAATTTTCTCATGTAATAAATTCTAATAAAGGCTAAAGAACGTATCAAATATGTATCTTTTTAATTGAAAAAGATTTACAAATAAATGTTACATGTTTAAAAAATTTGTTCAAGTATTTACAAGGAAAAACATTTGTGTCAAAAGAAAGAATTAAACAAATTTTAAGAAAGAAGTGTACGTAATAGTAAAATTGACAATTATGAATGAAACATTTGGAAAAATTTTAGTTTTCTTTGAAAGTTCATTGAATTTTCTTGCGAATATGGAATATTGCCAATCGAGCGTCTAGGATTTAGATGCCCATTTTTCCATATAATCTTTCCCGTACGTTACGCTTATATCGGATCGACGAGCATATCTGGGATCGCGAAAAGAACTCGTCTCGACGCCAGGAAACGACGATTGATACGATGAAATCCTCAATAAGAATCCAATCTTTGAAATGGCACGGTAAAGTTCGTACGGTCGCGACGAGTGCTTTCTTAATACCTGTCCAACGGTTTTCCCCGGGACGGGAAACTTTTCTCCCATTTTTTCGTTTTTTCCCTCTTCTTTTTATCCGACCGACGAAAGCCCTCGTCTTGGAGAAAATCCATGCCCGATTGTAGTACGGTTGGCCCATTCGAACGAATCTGTTCGTTCCAATTCCCCGTTCTGCCTGCGCGTAATAGTTCGACTTCATTTCGATAGAAATCACCCCGTATATATCGTCGAACGAAAAATAACCGGCAATGCCAACTGCTGATAACACGAGTAGTTAATTCGTCCTCGAATCTGTGAGCATTCAAAAATATACGCGCGCGCGCTAAAAACTTCCTGCGGATTTAACGTTAAAACAACCTGCGCAAATCTTTTAAAATTTATGCTAGATATGAAAGAATAATTACCGTTATTATACTAGAATTTTAATTATCACACAATTACTTGACCCTCGCTGCGATTCGTACATGATGATTCATCTTACATCTTTATGATTTCATGAAGCGGCAGGAATGTTATAGCGATGTTTCGCACGCATTCTTGCATTCATTATCTAGGAACCTCTCTAATTTAAGTTATAATTAGTATGCGACGTGTGAAACAAACGTTCCTTGTTGTTGTACGCCTCGTAACAAATTGAAACGCGCATCGAAGCGTTGCTTGACAAAATACGCCATTGTATTGTGCGCAACGAGCGGAATATATATTTCTTTTCTCATCGCGTTTACATTTCTCGAGAACTTTACAGTTTTGCTGCACGGGATCCGAAGCACAAATCTAGAGATTAAAGCGCGAGCAAAACAACATGCCAGCATCCGTTGCTTGGTCCAAAGAGTTTTGGAATATTGTCTCTATGGTACGATTTTTTAATCTTTCGTATATAAGCCGTTTAAATCCTTTTTCCGCGACGACCAAAGAGATGGTGTCGATAAATCTTTTGTGGCGAAAACATTTCGCGAACGAATAATGTCGTTATTATACCGAACGTAACGATACGGAAAAATTCCGCATTAAATAATGACCGGAAAGGTACATAAATTATATATGTATAGCACGTAATGTGCTTTAGAGAGATTTCCATCTTTTTAAGCTATGGCTTTTAATTTAATCACAAAGTAAAAGTTACACGGTCGTTTCTTTCAAGACAATCGCGACGTGTTCCTCCGAGCGTGAAAAATTGCGTGCACAGTCAGGTTCGTAGAGATACTTTATCTCTCTATCGCGGTCAACAATGAGTATTTTTATAATATAGTATACTTGTAATCACCGTTATTGCCATGCCATAATCGTGTTAACTCCACGCCTTGTAACAATGTAAGTGCGATTTCGTGTCTGCATTCGGTGAAATTTGCGACACGCGCTATTTGCGATGATTTGCATCGCGTTACCGTAACCATCTTTTCTCTGTACGCTTCTGTTAGAATTATTATTATTTATAAAATTGCTCTTCATTTTGTTGTATCGCGGTTCTTAAAAAGTCGTGTGTTTCAATCATAAGCTATTTCCGAATTGCTCGATTCGATTTTTATAATATTATATCAGTAATACGGGTCTAATTTTAATATTAAAATTCTATAAGTATGATTGTGAATAACATACATTTCTTATTCTCAGCGATGTCTATTATTCTCTTTCTTTTAATTTTTAACTAAAGATTAGCTGAGAGGCGGTAGTTTTAAATTGGTTCGAACATTAAGCCGACAGTAGTCACCTGACTTTTTTTTACGTAAAACGATCATCTGGTGTTCTTATATCCTAATTAAAATTACTATTATTAACAGTATATCGCGCATATTATTGTTTTTTATTTACCATTATTTGAGAATTATATGTAGGTATGGATCTTAATTATAATTTTCTGAAAAAAGTAACTAGAAACCAAACAAATATTAAATGGAATAAGCACGTTAAGTAATTTATTATGATGATGTTTCTAAAAGACAAGATTTTAATTAATATAATGCTATTTTGTGGCAGTTTTCGATACATATTTAAAAAAATTGTAAAACGTAGTATAATATTTAAAAAAAAGGTATATTAAACAATCTGAAAAACAACTCGTTACTGATGTAGAAAATCTGTGACTGATAGCGCTTAATAAAAAATGCACGAAGTTAGCAGTTCCTGTGCATTCGCCACGAGCAGAATACCACCGACGTAATCATATGCTTAGCGATCAACTTATGGAGAAACTTTGTGATCATTTCACAGATTCTAACGTGTTTTTCTGAAATTCTGAGAAACATTCTCCCTTGCTGCTTCCTTTTTCTTCCGTTCTTTTCTTGTCGAGTATCATTGCGATGACGAACATTATCTTCAAGAATACAGTTTCTACAAGTCACACTACAAATGTATAATACATCCACACTGGCACACAGACACACACGTATGCGCATGATCTCTCAGATCTCACTCACTTACACGCTCGCACCGATGACCAGGCACTATAATTCATAAATAATTTATGTCGACATTGCGCGGCGGTCACGCGATCTCCATCGTGTCATCCGCTTTTTGCCTGGAAACATTTTACCGCGACCTCTGCGCTCTATCTATCTATCGTCCCTGTTCCGAATCTATCGGAAGTGCTATCTCGGTCATCACTGATTTACACTGCTAGTTTACGGTCACTTTGTATCAAAATACGATAATCAATATTAGAACCGCATAGCCCTTTTGAGAATTCGATAGGTCAGTAACGAATAACCTTTCGGAATATATAGGATTAAGACGATTTACTCACGTATTAACTGGCGAACTGTGTTACGTTTTTATTTCTGAATATACGACAAATATGTTATCTTGATAGTTTTACAGTTTTTTTTTAAACAGATGTTTAATTTTTTAATTAACTGTACCTTGTTTTGTCTAATTAATTCTGTGATAGATTTTTAATAAATCACAATAACTAATTATAGAATTTAATGGAATACATATATACATTTTTCATTAATGTACTGTAATAGAATATTCAAGAGGAAATGAATGGAATAATGTTATGTTTCGCTGAAATGTGTCGAGTCACTTCAACTTTTCCAATATGTGCTTTATATCATATTATTTCAATATTAACGTGTTAACCAAAATGGTAACAGTCCATTCTGCTTGGACTCGGGTTAAACAATTTTAATCTTCTGCGGACACAACGGGATACCGCCGAGTCTATTCGCATCACGACACTTGGATGATTAACCGGAATACGACGAACCGTGTTTGCCATTTTGTATCGACACTCGTTCGTTTGAGAATTCTGAATTCACTTGTGATAGCGGTCACACATAGTTCGGAAAAAAAAAGGAAAGAAAAACATCGACAACAGCGTTTTTATCGATCGGCGACCAAATTGCAGACCGTCGTTGAGTTGCTGTTTATGAGGCGGTTTGTGTCAATGTTAGTAAAACGCGGAGAGCGGTTTTCGATAACACGTTATCATTTAAGTACTAAAAGTAAATTAGTCGCTACTTCGTATTCAAGAGAGTTCCACCGATTAAGATATGTTATATCACTAAAGTTGTCGCGTTTTACTTTAAACGTGTAAAGTTCCTCAGAGTATGTCGACGGATGTATTCGAGTTCGTCATTACCAGATACCTACAGTTCAAATCGAATTGGCGCATGCAAGTTTAAACACGTTCCAATTAGTGTTGGTCAGAAGTTCGCTAAAAAGGTTTGGTATACGTAAAAGAATTATTCGAGTGATAAAAGAGTAAAATTTAAATCCATTTTTGCTAGTGTAAAATGACAAACTTTTATAACAGTTAAAAAAAAACATTTGAACAAGCTTAAATCTCCTTAGTACAGATGGAAGAAAACGATTTTACTGAAATATAAAAAAATTAAATTAGAAATAGATCTAAAAAAAATTATTTTGTTAAACTAACAAGATAATTGTCGAACGTTCAAGTTAATTGATAGGATGTCAAAATTTTTTTACAACATAGCTCATTTTATGCTTGAATTTCCTATTACATAAATATTTTGAAATCTAATAAAATTGATAATCTAATAAATTATTTATATGTTTGCGTATTTTTTAAAATCGTTCTTTTTGTGTAAATTTGTACTATACTATTTGTTGATTTTGTTTTATAGCCGTGTATATTTTACATTCATTTATTTGTAATTATTTTGTTCTTGTTTGTAATTTATTTCCTTTCTCTTTGTCGCGCATTTGTTCCGTAAATATTGAGTATTTGTATGCTAATGGATTCAAAGTGATAGTTTAATGCTAGCTAGTTATTATCTATGTACATTAATGCGTTCCTGACGAGGACTATGTATCACTGAATAGCAGATCTGCATTATTAGCATACGATTATATGTACATACGTAATAATCCCTATAGCTGTAATACTGTGTAACGTTTGAAGATATTAGATAAATATTATAGATTTGATGTTAGCGCTCGACTATATTATTTTTTTCTCATGAAGGAAAGGAATTTGAAAGCAACGATATTTGGTCGCCACTCTCTC